GGACATAATCCTTGCCCTAAAAAAGTCTGACAATCTAAACAGATTAGATAAATGGTAAGAAAAAATGTGAGAAAATTTGCCTCAAGTCAATTTACAGTTCAGTAGCAGTGCCAGAAGCCTCATTCCCACGTCAACGCTGGTAGGTGGAAGAAGGGAGGCTGGATGAGGCTGTTTCTAGCAGTGAGAGGCAGGGAGAAAAGTTTCACAGCGGTGCAGTCACATTCAAAATCCCCCACCCCATGGAGCTGCCTCTTATGGGTGAGAATGGAGAGACGGATCTGCTTGGTTTAGGCCAAGGGATGATGAAGGAGAGGGTTTAGGAGGACAAGGCCTAAGGAAACATGAAGGCCCTACCAAATGCAGGTGGTCAGGTCTGGTGAGGAAAACAGTTAATGGAGAAAATTCCTCTGACTTTCAAGTTTTAAACTCATAAGGTTGCACAAAGGAAGACCACTGCACTGGGAAAAAACATGGGAGTGGCAGGGTTGGCCAGGGGAAGAGGAACAGGTTGCTCAGAGACGTGGTAGATGCCCCATCCCTGGAAATATTTGAGGTCAGGTTGGACAAGGCTCTGAGCAACCTAATCGAGTTGAAGATGTCCTTGCTCATTGCAGGAGGGTTGAACCAGATGACCTTTAAACATTCTGTCCAACCCAAATTATTCTATGATTCTGTGAAGAGAGCAGGGAAAGCGAAATACAGCATCATAGCCTTTTTTTTTTCCCTCTGAAAGCCTGCAGAGATATAGAATAAAGTTAATTGGCAAACATATTGCTCATTGCAGAGCTAACTAACAAATTTGGAAGTCCTTCATCTCCTACAGATCTCACCAGAATTTCTTGCACCAGTCTTGAACTTGCTAATCCCCAAGGAAGCAGCTCCAGGGACTGCCCTGTCAGGCCTGTGCTGATGAAGATGAAGTTGATGCTTCCACACAGATGTGCGGGAGTTGGACATACTCTGCAGTCCCAGGAATAGATCTGCTGCCAGTTAATTTTTTAATTAACAAAAGGTCAGGGGCACTGCAGCTAGAGCAGAGCTCTTTGCTTGAGAAACTTTGCTAGAAAATACCTCAGGTGGCATCTTCACTCCACAATGCCAATAGCACCTGTCTGTATCTATCATTGTCTCTTTAGGTCTCCCTTTTGCCATGGTGGTCTTGGCTAGAAGCTTGTAAAATGAGTATGAAACAAACTGCGTTGGATAACAGAGAACCACATGCATTTAAACAAGCTTCCCAAGCATTCAGACCAGTTGGGTTCAATTTTTTACCTCAGCCACATCTTTCCAAACTTCATGGCTTGGAACCAGCCTGCTCTTATTGGATTTATGAGATGGGAAAGGCTGAGATCTGTGAGCAAATATGACCATTTCTAACCCGATTAGTGAACGAGCAAAAACGCCCTGGATCCAGATTAAATCATCGGGCCTTGTGAGCTTTGCTAATCATTACCAATAACCCTGTGATTTCCACACTGGGGCTCATAGGCACTCCATTGTGCAGAATCAGTCTTAGGGGAGCTGATACTTGCACAGCAACCGCAGAAGGGTCAGCTTAACCTGAAGCATTGCTACTTGCAATTTGCAGGTTAAGAAATCTTTTGTAAAAACATAATAGGATTGTCTCAAACTTTGCTAGGCTTCTAGATGACAGGACTGGCTGTTAATTCACGCAGCAGATTCAGGGCCAACTTTGCAAGTGAAAGGTAGAACCCAGGAGTAGCAGATGGGTTAATGTTGTCTCGGTCTCCGGAAAGAAAAGTGTAAACCAGTGTGATTATACTTTGTTGCAATTAAACAAGCTCTTAAGATGTTTTGGTCCAGCTGATTTGAATGATGCCAGACCAAATTAAAGTAACAAGATTGAAGAAAAAATGGTTTTAGTCCAGATCCAGGTCTTACTTTATAACTTTATTGTAACTCCTCTAAAGCTGTGTGTATCACCTATATAAGTAAAGCAAAACTGTAGCGTTGAATATGAGTTGTACAGGCAAGATGTCAGCCTTCCTCACCTTCAAGATAAACTCATCTTGTTGGCCTCTTCAGGCAAGCCTTTCGATAGGCTCCAACAGCGTAGCTGCACCCCCATTGTGCATGCTAAGGGATGTAAGTTCTTTTATTGATGCATCTGAACTAAAACAGGTTCCCCTCAAAGCTTCCCATACATCAGAGCTTAGAATCGCAAAGACCCTCTGGTTCAGGCCCTTGATAGGGTGAGTATCACAAAAGCTAACCCCCTAAGCAGTTTTGAAAGACCCTTTAAAAAAAAGTTGGAGAGGAGAATAAAAAATCTTAAAGCCTCTAGAGAAAAAGCAAGGGAACGCAGTCCTGCTAAGACTTGCCCAGATCTATGGTCAAAACAACACAGCTCTGCTGAGCATGGAGGAATGAGCCATGGGGATTTTGTTGTAGGCCTAAATCTGCCCTAACTAGCATTAAGGCTTGCCTTAACTGTGGTATGTCTGATATTGAAAAAGCTTGCAGATAGATTATGCCCGTGTAAAATGGGCAGAGAGATAGCTGTTGCTTTGGTCTGATAGATGCAGTGGAGAACTGAACCATGAATTATTGGAATTTTCTGCTTCCTCAAGCCCTCGTTGTTACTTTGCAACAGCATACACTTACTCATGTATTTGGCAACAAGGTCACTAAGTTGGTAAGCAAAGGCATAGAGGGTATCAGTGCACCTACTCAGCTGTGTAATAACCACACCGAGGCACAAGCTTGGAGTTTGCCCCAGTTGCAACAAGAAAGAAATTTAACGAACAAAACCCTGCAATACTTGATGTCCCCAGGATGACCCAGCTGTGTGGCTGATGGCAGAAATGATCAGCAGAGTAAATGCTTGCAGAATGGTGGTTTAGGTGCCCAGAGCTCACAAGTTCTGTTGGATAAACCTGAGCCTTGGGCTATAGTTTTGAAGCTAAAAGGGTGCCATCTGAACCCTAACTGGGGAAAACCTCTAGTGATGTCCTGTGACAGTGAGTGTGGTGCTGGGCCTAATGCTACCTACTAAGATCCCTTTTGTCAATGGGGAGGAGGACATGAAGAAGATGAAGAACATGGTGCATGGTGCACAAATGACCAAGATTCCTGATAAGAGACACCAAACAAAGCCCTGGCGCTCTCCAGGTAAAGAGAAAAGCCCTGTTCAACCTTGTTCACATGTTTTATCCACTTACCATCTCTTGGGGAAGGTGTCAAGAGCTGATCCAGTTAAATGTATGAGCTGAAGAGCTCACACTGAAGGGCTCTGATAGACATGGGGCTTAGCCTGTCCAGGGAAGACAGCAGATGGGTCTGCTGAGCCCCTTCACTGCAAACATTAAAGGATATGCAGCTTGTGGCTAAGGGGGCTCATTATTAATATTGAGTTTATCTTTAGCAGTTCAGGGCTAAGACTGTTCCTTTTTAAGATTGTGTTGGTCTTCATGCTTCCAGGTGTGCATCCTTCCAAGCCTGTGTCTGCTTTTGGGCATTTCTCTCCAGCCAGGCATGAGCAAGGTAGGGACGCGTTTAGCACCAGTTTGCTTCCCCAGTTGTTTCCCCCTTTCAAAACCTTTGAGTCTCGTGGAAGGGAAATGCAGCCAGCAGGACGTGCTGGGCTGCGGTACTGGGGTTTATGTTAACGTCTGGCTCATTTCTGCTGGAAACTTCAAAACCTTTCCTGTGGAAGGAGCAGGCCGATTGGCCTTTCATGTGCATATATAAGATATATAAGCTATAGTTATATAGCGAAATTGAGAGAAGCCTTAAGAGGCACGTGAAACACCAGAACAAAACAGATGAGGGGGCAGGAATCATACAGTTCAAAGCTGGTTTTCCAAAGATTGCTATGTGAAGGTTTTATTTTTTAATTTTTTTAAAAAATTCCTGTAACTCTTAATTCCTCTTTTTTCTCTCTATCTCTGTCTGTGTTTACATATTTACACTGGGGGGAGGGGGGGGACACCCCTCTTTCTTTTTTTTGGGTGGATGAGGGTAAATGCAAGAGATACTTTCTGAGTCCCTGAATTGAAAAACCAAGTATTTATTATAGCTAACAGAGTTCTTTAAAGTGCTATAGACACGGAGTAAGTTGACTTTAAACTCTACCTCCCCACTATACCTCCTGCCTGCCTTTCCACCTCCCTCCTTCCCCTCCCAAATGCAAGAAAATACCTATCCCGAGATCAGCGGAGATTTCTCCTGGGAACAACAGACAACCCTGAGACCTGGGCACAGCTGGCACCCTCCCTGTACCCCGCCTGGCCATGTGGGTCCAACCCCCGTGTTCTTCACAGCCTCCCCAAAATCCTTCTCTCCGGTCTCGGTGCCGGCAGCCCGGAGAGCAGCTCGAGCGCAGGATGGAGCAGGAAGCCTAAAAACTTCGGTCTGCAGAGAGACCTCTAGTGTTTTTCTTTCTCCATGTCCTGGCAGAGTTCCTCCAAAGTACAAATACACACAGAGCTCCCATTGTTTGCAGCCCTTCACAAGCCCACTGGTTTTCCTGAAACACAGCAAGCTGGAGAAAGAAAGGAAAAACTCCATTAAAAACCTCCAGGCTCTCCTCCATGTTAGAAATGAAATGGAAAATGGAGTGGATTTAACAGGAATCCCTGATTCCTGCAGCCACGCTGGAGGAAGGGAGACGCGAATCAAAGCTGCAGGCTGCTGATATTTTTTAAGTCGCAATAAATACTGAGAACTCCAGGGCAGGATGAGGATTTCCTGACTCGGACGAACAAGAAAGGACAGATCACTTTTTTTTATGATATTTCTCTCTGTATATTTAATTTATTTACCTCAATGATTTTCTTGACTGATCTGGTAATTGTTAGAAGCGGCTGTGA